ATTTAATGATTAAAATTTGTATTTTAACTTGCTAAAGTATGTTTTCTTTTGGTATGTTGATAATGTTTGCCGACTTCCGATAACAAGGAATAGTTCGGTGACCTTTTTTTAAAAAAGTCGCCAAAATCACCACTGGCAATAGATAGGTAAATTTTACCCTTTTTCGTCTGTTAAAAATTGCCATTTTACCTCAAGATGGTTGCTTTAATACAGAAGTGCCAGCTCAGATTTCCATTTATAACGCATCTGACAATAGCAACTTTAAAAATGTAGTTCTCCAGGAGATTGCGAATGTCATGCAAGACACTGTATCGTATCATAACAAGTCTACCGGAAATGGTACTTAACCATGCATTTATTATCATAGAGGACATTTTTGAGACATTATATTGAAGAAGTGAGTTTGTGACTCCAATACTTTGACTTTTTTAACCCTTTTAGTTTATTTATGCATACATTAAATGCGTTATCCTACTTTGAAAAGCTCTACCAGTGGCCGAGGGGTTTAAATCGCTGACTACTGGGAGTTCTATCCCATGCGAACGTACTCCTTGCATAGTTGATTTTCGAGGTTTTTTCCATATGTAACGTAGATATGAGCCAGTTTCTTCAGAAGGTCTTCCACGGCGGCATTCCATTCATTAGGTGGATAGCCCATGTGTGCATGACAATATTCAAATGATCTAAATTAACATGCATGTAATATAAATACCAAATTCTCTGTTTTCTGAAGAGGAAGGGCTATGAATTTTATTACTAAACTGTAAGAACGTTTTTCCGTGAAAGATTTTGTTGCATTCTACAGGTTCGTGGATTTGGAGTAATTGGTGATAACACTTAATGAAGAATCAAAACACAATTTATATGTCAATAAGCACTATACACAGGACAGTTTCAAAGACACGTCTACACTCGTCAAAAAACTTGGACAAACATGCTGAAACAATCGGGCTATAACGGTGAAGATAGCTTCACAGCAAAGCACTAAAGTATAGCTTCCGACTCGATCGATCGCTCTCAAGCTAATCTCTGAACTCAGAAACTAATATCCCCGTACGAGCAGGGTATATGTAGTTTTACTTACCTTCGAGAATATTCCGGAGGAAAACCGCTAAGAGTCCGTTCTAGAATGTTCTCGCTCCGTCTATGGCATATTGCCAATTTTGTTGCTAAATATCCCAGATGGGCGATTTCGCGCCAAATCTGGCAACACTTCCTTTTTCTGCCACTCTCTGGTAACCTAAGCTCGCCTGTTTTGGGGGAAGCTATCTGACCGCGTAGATGCTATGCATTTCCAAACAATTTCATCATCATTTAGAACACTGGTTCTCAATAGGGCAGTACCGCCTCTGGGGTGGCAGTGGAAGGATGATGAAGGGAGATGAATATGTTTTGGGCGGCAGGGGCGGCGAGCATGTTTCGGGCGGTAGGAGGCGATGAGCATGTTTTGGCATTCGAATTCAATTTGAAAACTCCCCCCAAAATTTATTAAATCGATTATCCGATTTACACCATTGTACCAGCAATAAAACGAACTTACGCGATGGCTTCTCTCATGCAATGCCAAGAATGGCGAGACGAATCTGCAAAAAATTCATTCTGATAAACAAAATAAAGATTTGTCGTTTTTCCCGAACATCAGAGCCAAGTTTCTGAAGGCACCGTCTGTCTCAGGGTTACTAGCAACCTCATTATTTAAAAAAAAAAAAAAAAAAAAAAAAAAGAAGAAGAAGACGATGGTGTTTGACAGCCTCTTATAATATATCAAAACTAATTGGTAAATCGGAGAAAGCTGATACTATGGGCGAAGAGTTAGTACTGCCGGCTGTCAAGGAAGTTTTAGAAATGATTTTACACCATCCAACCGCATCCAATGTTATAAAAAACGTCCTATTAAGCAACGATACAGTGCGACGACGAACTGATGACGTGGCGGAAGATGCTGAAGCTTCTTTATGCAAATTTTCGTTATACAAACTGGGTAATTCATATACAGCAATTAATTGTAAAAGCCCTCAGCTACCGTTTGTATTAGTCATTACAATATGCCATCTCTTCTGTAAATAAAATCCACAGTAATGCTTTCAACGATCGATTATTCGGGCAACTGTGTAAGGTTAACGATGAAGACACATCGACGTTCGCTGGCTTTCCAAAGCCGTTTGCCTCAATAGGTTCTGGAATATTTTTGACTCTGTACTTAGCCATCGAAGAGGAAAATGTAACTCTGAAAAGATAAGTTGCTACAGTTTGCAAACAGTAGCTGATGATGTTGCTAACATGACCGATTTATTCGCAAAATTCATGGCAATTAATTTGCAACTTCAGGGCAAAGAAGTCAATTTGATCGCGGCAAAATCTGTTATTTCTGCTTTCCTAAAAAAAAAACTCACATTGTAGAAGCAGAATTTTGGTCGCAACGAGTTCAGCCAGTTTCCAGTCTTGTCTTATTTGTATAAGAGCAGTGAATCCCGTTCGATGAACTACGTATTTACTGTCAACACCTTTAGTCAAAGGCTTTTCTAAGCGATTTGAAGATATTTTGTCCTTGAAAGTCCCTCAGTGGTTTATGAATATTGAGACAGCAGAGGTTCAGCTTCAAGAGGAACTGGTCGAATTTTCAACTAGTGGAACTTTGAGAGCCAGCTTCGAGAATGGTGATCGTGTCACAGAATTTTGTCTTCAAAATAACATCAGTCGTCTCTACTCAGGATTGTGAACTACAGGGTCGTAGCTAGAGGGGGGCAAGGGCGGGCATCTGTCCCCGGGCGCAGAATTCAAGGGGCGCCAAACTGATGTTACGACATTTTAGAATTAAATGTTTTCCATCCTTGGCAAGCAGTAGGGGGCGCGAAATCTTCAGTTGTCCCTGGGTGCTGAAAACCCTAGCTACGACTCTGGTGAACTATTATCAAAAACGTTTTAATTGCTTTCTCTTCCTTTACTTCGAGAGAGGAACCTGTGCTGTGACTGATTTAATTATAAAAAAGAGAAGTCGACTCCAAATCATGGAAAGAGGAGATTTGCGCCTTCATCTCTCTAAAAGTACTAAACCGAACATTTAATACTTTTAGAGCAGGTTGAGAATTAATGATCTAGAACTTAAAGTTCCTTTTTTATTTCGCAAATATACATAATGTATAAGGCATAAATGTTTTATGCCTATGTTTTATTTTTATGTCGTAAGGTATGTTTTATGCCTTGGGATTATTTTTTACGTATTAATCTTATGCCTTGATGTCCAAGGATAATGCATATGATAAAATTAATGACGACATAGTCCAGGTATCGGCAACCTTTCTTGGCTATGATTAAAAATCAGCCAAATGTGTGTATTAAGAAGATATTTCAGGTCAGTGGTATTTTCATTTTAAAAAGTCTTTTTTGGTGCATAATAAGATAAATTTTATTGAGAAAATAATTACAATGTGCTTTAAACTTTATACATAAAAATTAAAATTTTAATTATTATTATGAAAGCAAACATAATTGAATGAACTTCTGTTCTGAATGGATTTCTGTTCAATATCAATGGCCTGCTCCTGTTATTACTTAAAAAATTTCATGTGTGAAAAATATTTGCTCACATTTGTAAGTTAAATTGAATGCTGACAAAATGCCAAAGCCATTTTTTCGCTCCTGAATTTATTCTTGTGCTACTTACTGAACGAACAGAGTATGAACTAAATTAGTGTAGCCAAACTTACAGATTGCTTCTTGAAATCATATTACAATTTTTGTAAATAAAAATGCATGTTCGTTAAGGTTACGTTATAATAAAAAAAGATAATGTTATTATTTTATTTTAAGTTTATTTTTCATGTATTCTTCAAATTTTCATTTCATATTTATGTTTTATAATTTTTTTATATATTATACTTTTTTCGGAACTCAAGTGGGTCATTTGAAATTATGAAATGGGTCACTCGGTGATCCATGGGCCTTAGATTTTCAGAGGCCTGGTCTAGTCCCTTGCCATAAGGCCATAGACCGAAAACGGTGTGCTATAGTATAGCATATTGTATGACAGACCTTCTGACAGATGGTGCTGGTAACAGATTAGAATTCTTGGTTATAGTATTTGCTGTTTAGGTACTGTTTTATAATTATGCTCTTATGTTCTATGGCATCACCTGTTATGCATTATTATACCCCAAATGTTCTAATTATCGTGTACAACTAATTATTCATATCACACATACACACACGCACAAAGGGAAAAAAGGGGACATTATTACGAAAGCACTATACAATATGTGCTGTTTCACAGCAAGGTCTTTTCTTGTTGTATAGAATATAAATCCTTCATTCTAAGCATACAACTTGTTAGGAAGCTAAAGCGTGCTCATCTGCATCAAAAGCATAAAGGAATTTAACACTAACTCTATCAGCTGTACAGCAAGAAACTTCATATGGTAACACCTTAGATGGCCGCCAACAGTTGCAGCATTTAATCTTTTAAAGGAGAAAACGCAACTGAGATTTGCTATCCAGAAGATCCCTCGAGAGATAGTGATGGAAAATGATGTAAGAGCCTTGAATTTCATCCTCTGAGATGTGTAACAGGGCAAATATTATACTGTTCCTACAGGTGTCGAAAGTCTCTGAGTAATGACAGATGTCCTTGTCAATCCCACTTGTGATTATTCATGGCCCTATTTGCTCTGGAAAAGCCAAAATCACAGAGACGTAGCATGCGTTTATTTTAATATACATGATTCGCCTATATATATTGTATACTTTTCCTACCATTTAAACACTGAAAGACACATTTATAATAGTATTAGATTCTGTGTCCATTTTTACTATCAATAGTACAGTTTTTTTCGAATCAGATTACTATCATTTAGTATTAGTAATGTTTAATTTAATTGATGTTATAGTTAAAAAACATTATGTCTTTTTAGTAATTGTTGCAATGAAAAATCATCGCAGCAATAGATTTGTTATAATGCATTTCATAAATTTTACTTATTCTAAACATTATTTTTTGTCTACAGGCAATTTTCAAATAGTCTAGAAGAAGATGTTGTAAAGCCGATGAAAGTTTTGTTAGAATGTCAACATAAGCAAAGAAAATTTGTAAGTAATACTTAATTCATTACATACTATTCTGTTAAGAAAGCTATTGTTGAGGCAAAGCATTATGACCATCCCTACATTTTTCAATGAACTCGTCTGGATGTCATGGAGGGCACGTCATTAACTGGGAATCGTATTTAACTGCTGCTAGAGAAGCATTACTCAAACTCTACTTCAGATATTTTTCTTCTTTTTCCTCCCTCTCCCTGCTTCCTCCATGGGATTCATCCCAGCGCCGGATTTAGCATTTTTCCTAGGCGGGGCAAAAACTTAAAAATGCCGCCCTTACCCATCTTCCTCTAAGTTTCTGTAACAAATTTTAGTTTTTTAAATAAACATAGAAATAGGTAGTTTTCGAGGTAAAATGTAAAATCGATTTTATAGTAAGAAATTCTTTATTTGCCATTTTTGTTCTAAAAGAAATATACATAATAAATGGTTTAATTTCTTTACTTATAGCAAAGCATAAGAGAGCTACCTGCCTAAGAGGGGTGAGGTCTTTCTTAGAGTAATTGGCTCATATGCAAGTTACGCATGAGCGAAACGGCAGAAACACCCATGCAGCCAGCTAATTCGCTTGATTCTAATCCCCTACCGAACTACAAGTGTTCAGACTTTACATCTCAGCCGCTGCTGGCCGTTACATAATTAAAAACCCGTGCAAACCCTCTTAATTCAGTTACTTCTCCGGTGCACTGAAATAATCAAATTTACATTTTCCCTGAAATGAGGATTTTTTTCAATATTTGCAACAATACCTACTCATACTAATAAATGATGCTAATAGAAAACGATTCAGAACTAAATACTAAATACAGCACAGCACAAAAATGGGAATCTGACATAAATAAATAATAAAAAAAAATATTTAAACAAATGTAAGCAAATTACAAACAGTGATTTGTAATTTGCCTGATAGATTAGAAATCACTAATACAGTGGATTGAATAATTTTTTTACCAATTTCTCGATACTAACAGTAACTTTAACCTAGCACGTTAAATATTCATTTCACAATAACTCCTTCATGTAGCCTACTCAAGAACTCTACTACCGTCGTCACAAAGCCCAGTAACATAATAAATATTTACATATTCACGCAAAAGACTATTTTTGTACTGAATAATCAAAATTACATTTTCTCTGAAATACGCAATTTTGCAATATTTGCAACAATAACTAGCCACATCTTGGAGGTAAGAAAGAAAGGAAGGGCCAACCCCGCACTGCGAGTGAAGCTCTGCTCCGAGGGTTTCGACCTCCAGATTGAGTGTTTTTTGTTTACATTTAGAACCTCCATTGACAGCGCAGTGATAGTATTTTGACACACGACACTTCCATACAAATTGGAAAACACGACACTCCCTCATAAAAGAAACATTCATTGTGTGATGAACAATAGCAATTTGTATAGTTATGCTTATGCAAAATGTTGTGTTTAAAGAAGATATTGTAAAAGGCATCCTGAAAATCATATGTGTAGATCTGTTGCAAGAGATAAAAGCTCTAGCCTTTTTATGTCGACAAATAACATCGGGGCTTGTTCTTTAAAATCGGCAAGTTCCTTAGAGAACTCAAAATGCGTTTAGAGATCTCGCTCATATTTTCGTGCAAGATCTGCTCCATTCTTTTGCAGTTCTTCCATTGACATATTCAATATTTCACGACCATTGAGAAATGGAAATTTGAATTTAGTGTAATAGCCCTGTTTACCTTCGTTTTAATTTCTGATAAGATTCGATTAAATGCAATTTGCCTTGCATTAGAAAGTAGCTGAACACGATGAAATGTTCGTGATCCGTCCTCGCACAATTCATCAAATTCCTTTTTGCGTTTTTAGAAGTCGTTTTATTTGTCAGAACAGGTTTCAACGTCAATTTTTTTCGGCTGCTATTTTAAATTCTTTTATCCAATATTCCATAGGAATTTCTCTCATTTTTTGCAAAGTTTTGGTCAGCCCTTCCATTAATGCGACGGAACGCGCAAGAATAACATATTCCATTTGAATTTCAGAATTTATTCGATTGATTTCTCGAAGAATATTAGCCCAAATTTTCAGGCTGATAATAAATTCAAAATTTTTTACAACATGTAGCAGATGTCCTGCGTCGTACTTTGATAGATAGTTAATTTTAAAATAGTAATATAGTACGTTAAAAACTAATTAATTTCTTTCAAGGATTTTACTACTTCTGGTACATTCGTTCGAAGGGCTTTCAAAGCATCATATTTTGCCAACCATCTCGTCTGGCTGCTTCCTTTTGAGTTGGTTTTTGTACATGTTTTCGTAATATCCCATCGAATAGTGAATCCCACAAAAAAGCTAAATATATTCTGGATAATTCCAAAGAGGTTAACTGCTTCGGTGCAAGACGAGGCAGAATGCACACAGACAAGATTTCAAAGAGTGAGCCAAACATCGCGCATATTCGGGCAGCTTATTGATTTCTATAATCCTGGCTTGTACTCCAGGATTACTCCAAGGTCTAGTATGTCCGGTAAGTACCGGCAGTACACAATGCTGATGTAACGGGAGTGACATGTTACTGGTAAATCTCACAGGGTGTACAAAAATTGCATTTTTAGTTTTCGAATAGAATACATAAGCCAAGATCATTTAAGACTTTTATCATTATTTGCTAATGTTCTGTGCCACAATGAAGATGTCAAATGTATTCCATCACGTTCAGTGTACCTAAGGTCTGCGTTTTCTGGATATTTTTTTTGGCTAATAATACAGCTTGACTGCTAAGAAAAATTGTTGCTGATCGTTCATTTTTTCTGTGATTGGCCAATTACCTCGGTCCGACAAATCAAAACATCTTTCCGCTGCCCACACTCACCTAAATGAGAAAATACATTGTATTCTAATTTCATGTCCTCTAGATGTTCGTTTGGGGTCTATGAAGAAAGTTGTTCTCTCATTTGCTGAAATGGAGTCTGTTTGAGGATGATAGATGAAGATTCTTCATTTTGGTCATGCAAATTACAAGAAATATCAATATCGTTTAGAGTCTCTGCACCATCGGAAGTTGCGGCAGGGTCTGACGGTTCGTCTTTTCCGTGAAACCATTTTTCATTTTAGCTGCAATTAGTTTTTCTCCGTTCGGTCTTATCTTTTGCTCTGGTTCTATATTCTGCTCCTGAGAATTTTTTCCTATACACCCTCTCATGATTTCTTGCACCCTAAATAATATACAGATACATAACTTGCCTTTATAAGAAAAGCTAAAAATTGACGTAATTAAATTCAACAGTATTAAGGCCATGTCGCAGACGCACGCGCTAACTAAATGGTTGCATCTCGCTAAATATAGTGAGGAATACTAGAAGCAGGCATATTAAAAGAAAATGAGACAACAAAAAACCCTCCAGATTAAAAAAAACTTTAAAAAGTATAAAAATAATAAGTCCGTTTTTAAAACCTAGGTTGCTGACTGGCTGCAAAAAATCAAAATACCTTACTTCATTTCTGATTTTCGACGTACATTAATTTGAATAATTTCAATGGTCTAAGGTTAATTTGTATTGGGTGTTAGGAAAGAGTAGCAATTTACAATGCTTCTACATTTATTTCCCAAGGGTCGTTGGTATAAAAACGAGGCGCCTCTGTGCAATCGTTCTGTTTTTCATTTGAATATTCCCGCCAGGAGAGAGCACAACAGAGGGACTCTAGGCAAAGAAGTTGAGTGACGCCTGGAGTCCCTCTATTGTCCTCTCCCTGATCTGATCTTTAGAGTCGCGTTCGGCTGTACTTAGCTTACTTTTAAAACTATTTGTTCCATTAAAAGGTTTCGACTAATTAATTAAATATTCTTAAAAGAGGTTTTTAAATCTGGCTTTAAAACTACTAATGTTGCATCAAAATTTGACATCATTCCAAATACAATTCAGCATCACTCTTGAATTTGCCGCCCTCAGAAGTTGCCGCCGGGGACACAGACCCCCGGCTTGCCCCCCCCCTCAGATCCGGGACTGATTCATCCAGGAACCTTTCAACACCATGCCCATTGTGGATTTCCTTCAGGTTTACAGGGAAGTACTGCGAATGCTGTAGAACCCCTGTATAACTACCTCTGTATCAACGTATCATTACTCAAACGAAGTCCCACAAGTGCGCAAGGTCAAGTACTTAGTGGTGATCTTGAACAACAGACTGAAATGGTCTGATCATATTGCTAATATAAAAAGAGAAGTTTTCGGAGTAGTCAATAGCCTTATACCACTGCTAGGAAAATAATTTAGACTTGAGAAAGAAAAGGCTTTTATATATTATGGTTATTAGGCCCCTTATCACCTACGCCTCAGCTGCCTGGAATACGGCCTCAGAGTGAGATATTATGAAGCTCCAAGTGGTGCAAAATAAAATTTTGAGAGTTATGACCAACGCACACTACTACACTGGTCTGCAAAAATTAAGGACGAAGTCGAAAAATTAGCATATCAGCTGGACGAAGAGGCAGAGCGGACAGAAAGACCAATCAGGAGATTAAGTAAGGTGATGTACGGTAGCACATGCGCAGATATGCAGGTAGACGTAATGGGGGAGTCTCTGAGTAGTATAAAGCATGTTGTCGGTGTAAGATCAGTATTTCTGGCAAAGAGATTGCACGATGTATAGCAGTTAAAATCACACCGAGTTGCTGCCTCAGCGAGAAATGGCGAATAATCAATCTGTTAGACGACATGTTAGACGACATCTGGATGCTTTTTACCCGAGGTCGAATCATTGGGAAGTTGGAGGAAGGCCGCAGTGTGACAAGTGTGGCTGCAGAGTTCGGAATTGCTCACAGCATCGTTTTCACGACTTTGGAGACAATTTCAAACTACAGGAACAGCTATCCGGGGTTTTAGTAGTGGTCTTCCACGAGGAACCACACCCGCAGATGACCGGTATATTGCCTTACAGGCCAGAAGAAACAGGCGGCAGACAGCGGGAGAAATCGCTAGACACACGACACAGGCGACTGGACGACCGATATCGCGTTTTACCGTGGCCAAAAGACTGCACGGTGGTGGTCTGTTTGCACGACGCCCTGTACGGTGTGTACCTCTAACGCCTGCCCATCGGAGAAGGCGTTCTCTGTGAAGCCGGGAACACCGGAATTGGAGAGACAATGAATGGGGACGAATACTCTTTACAGATGAGAGCAGATTCAGTCTGAGTAGCGATTCTCATCGCATACTCATCTGGAGAGAGCGGGGAAGCCGCAATCATCCCTCGAACATCATTGAAAGGGACAGGTATGGAGGTGGCGGTGTTCTCGTTTCGGGAGGCATCATGCTTGGTAGTCGTACAGACCTTCACATCTTCGATGCAGGTTCAGTCAACGGGAACCGTTATTGTAACGAGATTCTTCTTCCATATGTGCGTCTTTTTAGAGGCGCTATGGGTCCGCAGTTCCTTTTCATGGACGACAATGCACCATGTCATCGCACAGTAGCTGCCGAACAGCTCTTAGAGAGTGAGGATATTGAACGTGTGGATTGGCCGGCACGATCTCCGTATCTCAATCCCATCGAGCATGTATGGGATTTTCTAGGCAGACGCTTGGCAGCTCGTACCTTACCACCAGTAACGATTCCGGAGCTTCGATTGGCGCTGCAAGACGAATGGGCAGCAATGCCTCAACAACTCATTGACACCCTCATTCTCAGCATGGGCAGACGCTGTGAAACCTGCCTAGCAGTCAGGGGAGATCATATCCCCTATTAAAGACCGGATGTTTCTTGCTGGACACCCATCAGAGGGATGTTTCGGCCTTCAGCCGCATTGCGCTCCATGCTACGTTTTCAATAAAGCTTCTTTTTATCCCTCTGATTTCTCTTTTAGTAAGTGTTGCTTACATTACTCATGTCCTTACGTATTGGGGATCTTACGGTATTAAATGTGTTGATTTGGAAAGCTTTTGTACAAAGTTATATTGTAAAAATCGTCTCGTCCTTAATTTTTGCACACCAGTGTATGTTAGTAATGCGACTTTGCACAGTGATCTCAAGCTGGATTTAATTGACAATTATATAACGAAGCTAAACAGGAATTTCTTCCATAAGGCCACAATTTGTGAGCATATGAGCAAGTTGCATATTTTCACGTATAAAGTGTTACAGGAGGATCGTGACCTAAGACCATTTGCAGCCCACCTGACTAGGGATTCAAACTTTCCAACTTAGTTTGGCATTTATTTGTATATAATCACTAATATTTCCTATGTTTTATTGTATTTGTAGCTAGTATTTTGTATCTTTTCTCATTTTAGAATACATCTATCATTTTTAGTACTTCTCCATATCTTCCCACACTCGCCTTCGTCACTCAGGGTTGGGACTTTTAGCTCTAAAGCTATTTCGCTACCTGCGATGCTCGTTTCAATCTGCGACGCTCAATCTCGACTTTTTGCTCGTCTTGTGGTAAAAGTGATGGCCTGCTGATCTAAGCGAATTTGATAGGGGGCAGATTGTGATGACTCCAAGACTCGGAACTGGTATCTCCGAAACTGCACGGCTGGTAGATTGTTCATGATCTGCCATTGTTAGTATGTATGCAAAATGGATAAATGACGGTGAAGCCAACAGTAGACGCCAAGGTTTTGGACATCCACGTATCAGCAGTGAAAAAGGACGTTACAGACTGACCTGCTTGGTACAGCAAAATCGGCCTCAGATAGTGGCTCAGGTGACAGCCCAATACAATGCAGAGCCAAGTGCAAGAACACACAGTTCAGCGGACACTGCTGGATATGGGACATTGCAGCAGACGTTCCACTCTTGACTCATTGTCAACTATGCCTACAGTGGGTCCGGGAACATGGAGACTGGACCATGGATAAATGGAAGGCAGTTACCTGGTCGGGTGAACCACCATTTCTCATTCATCACGTCGATTGTCGTGTCAAGGTATGCCGTTTTCTAGGCGAACAGTTGTTCCCCCCATACAGAAAGTCATAAACAGGCTGCTGTTGGTTACCACCAAAGCATAATACCTTATGCTGTCTTCCGAACTGAAAGTCTGTCTTCCGAACTGAAAGTGTAATGTTCCAGTAGGGCAACGCCCCATGTCACAAGGCTAGAATTGTGTATTGAAGGGGTTCTAGGAGCACAAGGATGAATTCCAATTAATATCCTTCTCTTACTCGCCGGATCTTACCCCAATAGAGCATATTTTGGATGTCATAGAGCGGCAGTTCAGGACTCAAAAACCATCATGTCGGAATATCTTTACGTGACCACTGCTTAAATATTTGGTACAACCTGTCGCCAGTTATCTAACAAGAACTTGTGGCATCTAAACAAAGATTTGCAGCTGTTTTGCAGGCGAGAGGTCGCGCAACGCATTATTTATTAGGTGGTCATAATGTTTCGGCTGTTCACTGTGTACTGTGCATTTTAGTAGGGGAACATGCTTTTAAACAGAAATTATTTTCTAGTGGATAATGAATTAACTTCCCTTAATGGAAGGAACTCTCTTAATGGAATTAATGGAAGGAAATGACACAAAATGAAACAAACTCAAAATGAAAGACCTTTTTTAATTGTGGGCAATTTTTTGATGAATTAAAAATTTTATTTTTATGATGATTATTGTTTTCAAACTTTAGTACAGAAAAGTACAGAAGTGTCTACAGCAAGCATTTGCTCAGGTAAAAAAAAAAAAAATGAATTTTTGAATGGTATGAAATTAAAATATAATAGATTAATATGAAAGTGATAAAAAATATTTAAAGGATGTAACATTGAGATTTGACTCAGATGTTAAAATCTGTTGGTGCAGTTCTGTAAAAGTGCCTGTCACGTCAAAATAAATAAATTCTTAAGCTTACCATGTTATGCAATTATGTATTTTTAGAAGTAATAGTTTGAAGTTTTAGAATTTTCTCCTCATTTCTATTTTGTTGTAGGTTGAAAATAGTGTTGACAAAATGTCGAAAGCTCTCAATGATAGAAGGAATGAAGAACTTAAAGCTAAGAAGCTTAGTTATGCTTGTGCCAGAGAAAATGAAAGAATGCAAGAGCAGGCTCTTGACTGCAAAGCCACCAAAGGAAAGCTTCTCACAGAGAAAGATATTCACAAAGTATGACAGATTTAAACAACTTTATTAGCTTTATATTTTGCTAATTAGTTGCTAACAGTGCACAAATGTTGCTCGGTTGAACTTGCATTTTTTTAAAAATTTTCATGTCATTTTCCTGTTAATACTTGTTATAAGTGCTGAAGCAACAATTCATGTTTTTTTAAAGCATGTACAATACTATATATTAATGAAAGGACTTGATAAATTGTTATTTCTTTTTTCCAGATAGCCAAGCATCTGTATTTTTTAATTATTGCATGTATAATTAAAGGGTTTCTTCTTGTATAATTATAAAATTTCAAATCTTTATTATCTCAGTCAGTTAATGTAATTTTTTATTCTGTTGTAAAATGTTCTTAAATTGAATAAGTATTTACTTGAGCAGTTTTCATTCATATTAGCCTTTGTCAAGAATTATTCATTTGTCTGTGTATTGTTACAGTTGTTTGATAAATCTTCATTCACAACATACATTTTCTTCTTTCATTCTCAGCTTGAAGCTAAGAAGAGAAAAGCAGAAGAGCTTCTAACGCGGGCTGATATAGATTACTATAATGCATGTAAAAAAGCAGAACGAACAAGGCAAGATTGGGAAAGTGCTATTTATAGGGCGAACACAGCTTTTCATCACTTAGAAGAAGAAAGACTGAATAGTATGCATGATTTTGTGCAAAAATATGCAAATCATTACAGTCTTATGGGACCTTCCCTCATACAGGTTTGTGCAAACTTTTCAAATATTACTATGTTTCTATTTGTTAGGAGTTGCCATGATTTCATTTCTCATAACAATCAGTATATGATAGTAGTTTGTTTTCTGGTTAGTCATATCAAACACACATTATCAGTTCACATGACATGAATGTGATCAATAACCGCAAAATGCTTGAAATTTACTTTGTTTGGGAGAGAACATATATTTATTTAACTCAAATTGTATCTACTGATAAAGTATTTTTGCTTGAACAGCTGCTACCAAGGTGTTAAAATGCAGTTGAATATATAGGTTCAGTTTTGATGTCACATACTGTACTATATTGCACCACATGGCATGCTTGATGAAGAATTCGGTAAAAATATATTTCAGGGTGCCCTTGGCGAAAATTGGCGATTTTTTGGCGACATTCCTTTTTACATCCAATGCAATAAAATATAATTCAAACAAAAGGTAAAAGTTTACAATTGGGTGCCCCTTGTTTTTTTTGGCGATTCTTTTTTGACACCAGCAAGGCACAATTTCAAGATGATCATTACAGTAAACAGAATAACAAGTCAAAGAATTGCACAAACTCGGTGTCCATGTATCGATCTGTGTCCATCGATCTGTTTTCACTTAAAAAAATCGGGATAATGATGTCGTCATATAAGATTAAAACAAAGTTACTCATTGCCAAAATTGATCAATATTTGTCGCTAGTCAAAGGGGCATCCAATTATACACTGGAGACAAGCAAAAAATATATAATCTCAATAAACTGCATTTTAAATCAAACAATAAAATAACATAAAAAAGGAAATACATGTTATCTCATCTATGCACTACAAAAAGGAAATATCGACTTACCTTATTTAAAATTTCTGTGTCCTCAGTCTGTGGCACACAAAATTCCTTAACAGCATCCAAAAACTTTCTAAAATTATCTGAACTAGAATATGCATACTGCCGTCACCACATAAATAAAAAATTAAGAGTAAAATATAACCTCTATAGTGCCTGTACTGTCGGTGGCATTTCTTCTGAAAATCCCGGAGGTTGATATACATAGTTTTTTTTCTTGTAGTTTCTTTGATTTGTTAACATTATCTTTTATGATAATCTCTATAGTAAATCATACTGTTATTTTTATAGCTTTCTGAAAGTTTAAAGTCAACTATAAGTTTAGTAGATGTAGCTGCAGATGTTCAGAAACTTATAGAAACTAAAGGAACAGGACCAAATGTGCCAGAACAATTTTTACCTGACTTTTATGTAAGTAAATTTTTTAATAAAAATATTTACTTTTGCAGAAAGTATAATATTCCTTAATATTCTGTTTCATTTCTTCTTAAAGAGTAGTAAAATATCCTCTCCCCCTAAAAAAAAAAAATCATGTAAAATATACAAGATAAATCACAAAAATTTCACTTTTCAATTAATTGCAGGAATTAAATGGTAAACATTCAGAAATTAATCAATAATTATGATATTAAAATTATTGCAACATTTTATTACAAAAGCCTTTTATATTTTGCTAGTGGCTGTTTTTAAACTTTTAAGTTTGGATTTATGATAGGCTTAAGTATATATATTTCTTTTGTGGAATGAATTATATATATATGGGTTCTTTAGTTTCAAAATCACAATTCATATTCAAACAAAACACATTTAATAAAACATTAATACATGTATAATATAGTTCATCTATTAATACAGCATCTATATCATCCTACATCTATAAAACAACATCTTACATCTCCTCTCATAAAACAAAGTGGTGAGAGTTCTACCAATTTCACTTGTGCAGTCAACAGCTAAAATTTAGACAGCATGCGAGGAAAAATATTAAGCTATGGATTTAAAATCCCACATTCAGCCTTCCTGCTATGCGTCGACCTCGATGACATTATTCTACTCTTGACATCATAAATCATTGGTCATCTTACATCATCGTTGTCTTCAGTAAAAGAACTATCATCAAGAATAAGCCAAAACCTGAAAAGAAATATGAAGGGAGAGGGGAAGATTGTGTGTGCTGAGGAAAATATTGAAAGGAAACATCTTAATTGTCCTTCATCTTTGCAACTATAACATCGTCAACAGTCCCTTCTATTTTTCAGAAATCTTGATCTAAAACGAAAAATATCTTCAATCTTTAACGTTTTTGGACACGTTCATTTCATCTTAACATTAACTGAAATAAAAGTCATTATTAGATGTGAAAATCACAGTTCGGTTATCAGTTGTATCACTTCAGATTAAAACGTCATAGTCAGTATTATTTTATACATCTTCTGCTTGAGTCCATGGTTTAATGTATTCAGCGCATGCAGTTGTTTTAATTTGTCCTTCATGATCTTCTTCTTTTACAGCATCATAGGAGTCATTATTCTTTATTTTGACAATCTTAGACGAGCCTAAATACTTTGATTTTATCTTAAGGTTTGGTCCAAATTGCATTCTTTTGATAGCTACTAAATCATTAATTTTATAACATTTTGGAGAAGGTTTTCGAAGGTTATATGTTTTATGTGTTCTCCTATTTCATTCCTCTACCTTAAATATTTGTTTCTTTCTATCTTTTCGAAGTTCTTCTCGGTAAGTTTCAAAACTATTTTGAATTTTTGCATCAGTTGTTTCTTTGATGTTTTCCTTTCCACAAGTACAATCAGTATCTGCTTGAAAATTAGAAGCATTCTGTTTGCTTACTCCAGATATTAAATTAACAGCTGATATTGCTTTAGGAAATCTTCTTTTGGGGACAGAAGGTTCTTCAAGGAAAGATTTACGTCTTTTATATAACCTTGTCTTAGATTTAATTGATTTGTAACTTGAAGTCACACTAGATGGTATTGGAACAGCAGCAGCATCCCACAGGTTTCCATAATGTTCCCAATCATCAGCATTAAGAATTTTTCGCAACTGACGAAATTTTTCATCAGTGATACATATTTTTCTTTTCAATTCTGCTTGTTTCACAAATAATCTCTTCTCCATAATTTTTCTCGTGTGATCCTTTTCAAAAGGTAGCTTTTCTTGCATTTTCAGTTTAACATGTTGAACTTCTTTTTCTTTCTCAGACAGGATTTTATCTTTGGTGATCATCTGAAACTTTGCAGCTTCTACTTATTCTTGGAATCTAATAGATGTTTCTGCAACATTTCTGCAGTCTGTTCTGATAGAGAAAGTTTTCTTTCCAATGACCTAACTTATTGTTCAGGAGCATCCAAATCCATTTGTAAAATAGATTTTTCTTGTTTTAATTGTTCTTTACCTATAATTGGTAAACATCTGGGTCTCAAAGAAATAGGTTGGTCATCTTTTAAAATACTACGCATTTCAATGTTAGTAGTAGATTTTTCTTTGGCGTCTCTTCCTTTAAGATATTCAGATGTACCAGTATCCAATTCTTTAGCTTTGAAGTTTCTCTTGCTGTTTACTCTTTCTTACTATCGATATTTCTGTTTCACCAGCATTATATTCAACTAGTTTCTCAGATTGTAAATTCTTTCTTTTTCTAGAACTTTTTGGTCCTGAAGTGAGTTTTTTGGAATCATTAATTTTTCTATTACTCTCTTTGATTTCCTGAACTTTCATAGGTGGATTTTTTCTTCTTCCTTTAGGAATGGAATTCTTCTCTTCCTCTACATTTTGCAATTTTCCTTTTCTATGTTTAACATCACATTTTTCTTCCTGAGACTCCTCTTCCTTTAATTCAACAGCATCTGTTTCCTGTATAGGGTTATCAGTTCTATTAGAAATATGACTTTCAATTAAATGTTTTAATTCAGAGCTATGTGCTTTATTAATATCCGAACAATTATCTAACTCATCTTCTTGATCTACATTTACATTCATTACATTCGATTCAGTTTCATCTTCTGCTGCTTTCATAGATATACCGCTCTTGTTTATAATAATTTCCATTTGAGAAAGCAAATCATTGCCAATAACAGCATTTTCTTTCATTGTTCCTTGAGGCACAACATAAAAATTTGATTTAATTTCACAATCATCAATTCGTATGGAACTTTTAAAATAACCAATAGGTTTTATTTTATTGTTACCAAAGCCTACTAGAATCAAATCGGAAGAAATAATATTAGGTGAACCAATTACTTTATAAATGTTTTCCGATACTATATTTATATCACTTCCTGTATCAATGAGAGCTTCTCCTTCTACATTATCTACCGATATAATTTTATGCATATCATTTAACTGTTTCTTTACAAATATATGATTCACTCTGGCAAGGTGTTTTATATTCGTCTTATTTTTTGTACATTCTGCGGCTACGTGTCCAAATAAATTACAACGAAAGCATTTTTTTCCCTTCAGCTTATATTTGCAAAAATTCTCCGCTTGCAGTCCCGGATCTAAGAGGAGGGCAAGCCGGGGTCTGTGCCCCAGGTGGCAAATACAAGAGTGACGCTGAATTGTATTTGGAATGATGTCAAATTTTGATGCAACATTAGTAGTGTTAAAGCCAGATTTAAAAACCTCTTTTAAGAATATTTAATTAATTAGTCGAAACATTTTAATGGAGCAAATAGTTTTAAAAGTAAGCTAAGTACAGCCGAACACGACTCTAAAGATCAGATCAGGGAGAGGACAATAGAGGGACTCCAGGCGTCACTGAAAAAGTGAAAGGACCCTGTCGCTCTGCCAACCCAACATGTAATTTTATTACAAAGGTGCTCCCTAGACGCCTTGGTCTTTGTTACTTACAGGGGTAAGTGACACATAGAGAAAGAATCTATATATCTTTTCCTTCAACTTCTTTGCCTAGAGGCCCTCTGTTGTGCTCTCTCCTGGTGGGAATATTCAAATGAAAAACAGAACGATTGCATAGAGGCGCCTCGTTTTTATACCAACACGTCTTGCGAAATAAATGTAGAAGCATTGTAAATTGTAACTCTTTCCTAACACCCAATACAAATTAACCTTAGACCATTGAAATTATTCAAATTAATGTACGTCGAAAATCAGAAATGAAGTAAGGTATTTTGATTTTTTGCAGCCAGTCAGCAACCTAGGTTTTAAAAACGGATTTATTATTTTTATACTTTTTAAAGTTTTTTTTAATCTGGAGGGTTTTTTGTTGTCTCATTTTCTTTTAATATGCCTGCTTCTAGTATTCCTCACTATATTTAGCGAGATGCAACCATTTAGTTAGCGCGTGCGTCTGCGACATGGCCTTAATACTGTTGAATTTAATTACGTCAATTTTTTAGCTTTTCTTATAAAGGCAATTATGCTGTATATTATTTAGGGTGCAAGAAATCATGAGAGGTGTGTAGGAAAAAATTCTCAGGAGCAGAATATAGAACCAGAGCAAAAGATAAGACCGAACGGAGAAAAACTAATTGCAGCTAAAATGAAAAATGGTTTCACGGAAAAGACGAACCGTCAGACCCTGCCGCAACTTTCGATGGTGCAGAGACTCTAAACGATATTGATATTTCTTTAATTTGCATGACCAAAATGAAGAATCTTCATCTATCATCCTCAAACAGACTCCATTTCAGCAAATGAGAGAACAACTTTCTTCATAGACCCCAAACGAACATCTAGAGGACATGAAATTAGAATACAATGTATTTTCTCATTTAGGTGAGTGTGGGCAGCGGAAAGATGTTTTGATTTGTCGGACCGAGGTAATTGGCCAATCACAGAAAAAATGAACGATCAGCAACAATTTTTCTTAGCAGTCAAGCTGTATTATTAGCCAAAAAATATCCAGAAAACGCAGACCTTAGGTACACTGAACGTGATGGAAGACATTTGATGTCTTCATTGTGGCACAGAACATTAGCAAATAATGAATAAAAGTCTTAAAAGTTCTTGGCTTATGTATTCTATTCTAAAACTAAAAATGCAATTTTTGTACACCCTGTGAGATTTACCAGTAACATGTCACTCCCGTTACATCAGCATTGTGTACTGCCGGTACTTACCGGACATACTAGACCTTGGAGTAATCCTGGAGTACAAGCCAGGATTATAGAAATCAATAAGCTGCCCGAATATGCGCGATGTTTGGCTCACTCTTTGAATCTTGTCTGTGTGCATTCTGCCTCGTCTTGCACCGAAGCAGTTAACCTCTTTGGAATTATCCAGAATATATTTAGCTTTTTTGTGGGATTCACTATTCGATGGGATATTACGAAAACATGTACAAAAACCAACTCAAAAGGAAGCAGCCAGACGAGATGGTTGGCAAAATATGTGGCTTTGAAAGCCCTTCTAACGAATGTACCAGAAGTAGTAAAATCCTTGAAAGAAATTAATTATTTTTCAAAGTACTATATTACTATTTTAAAATTAACTATCTATCAAAGTACGAAGCAGGACATCTGCTACATGTTGTAAAAAATTTTGAATTTATTATCAGCCTGAAAATTTGGGCTAATATTCTTCGAGAAATCAATCGAATAAATTCTGAAATTCAAATGGAATATGTTATTCTTGCGCGTTCCGTCGCATTAATGGAAGGGCTGACCAAAACTTTGCAAAAAATGAGAGAAATTCCTATGGAATATTGGATAAAAGAATTTAAAATAGCAGCCGAAAAAAATTGACGTTGAACCTGTTCTGACAAATAAATGACTTCTAAAACGCAAAAAGGAATTTGATGAATTGTGCGAGGACGAATCACGAACATTTCATCGTGTTCAGCTACTTTCTAATGCAAGGCAAATTGCATTTAATCGAATCTTATCAGAAATTAAAACGAAGGTAAACAGGGCTATTACACTAAATTCAAATTTCCATTTCTCAATGGTCGTGAAATATTGAATATGTCAATGGAAGAACTGCAAAAGAATGGAGCAGATCTTGCACGAAAATATGAGCGAGATCTCTAAAGGCATTTGAGTTCTGTCAGGAACTTGCCGTTTTAAAAAAACAAGCCCCAGTGTTATTCGTCATCATAGAAAAGGCTAGAGCTTTTTATCTCTTGCAACGGATCTGCACGTATGATTTTCAGAATGCCTTTCACGGTATTTGTGTTGCCCTGTGGATTTACTCTATGCTTCCAGCTACGTCCGCAAGCGGTGAGCGACGTTTTAGCAAATTAAAACTTATTAAAAACTATCTGAGATCATCTATGAGCCAGGAGCGTTTATCAAGTCTCGCAGCAGAAAATCAAACAGTTCATCAAGTTAATTATGACGATGCCATAGATTTATTTTCAGAACAAAAGGCTCGCAGAGTAAAATTTTAATTCCGTAATATTTTAAGTGCGTTAGTTAAGAACTTAAAATTATTATTGAAACAAGAATTATGAAAAGAAGTACAACTACTAACCTTTTCCTTTCAGTAGTAGCCCATATTGTTGTTATGTATAGCTAATGAAAATTAATTACGTAATTAATCAGGTCATCTATTGTCCTAACTTATGTAATCTATTATTTGTAACTAAAGATTATTTTTATTATGCATGCATAATCAAGGGTATCGAAAGATGTATATAATTTTAAAGGTACCATAAGATATTTTTCAGTCTTTAAGCGTAACATTTTTGCTAAAATCTTCTTTAAACATAACATTTTGTATAAGCATAACTATACAAATTGCTATTATCCATCACACAATGAATGTTTCTTTATGCGGAAGTGTCCCATTTTTCGATTTGTATGGAAGTATCGTGTGTCGAAATACTATGAGTGCGCTGTCAAGGGAGATTCTATAAATGTAAACAAAAAAAACACTCCATCCGGAGACCAAAGCCCTCGGAGCAGTGCTTCACTCGCAGTGCGGGGTTGGCCCTTCCTTTCTTTCTTACCTCCATGGTCTGGCTAGTTATTGTTGCAAATATTGCAAAAGTGCGTATTTCAGAGAAAATGACTATTACAGTACAAAAATAGCCTTTTGCATGAATATGTAAATATTTATTATGTTATCGGGCGTTGTAAGGACAATAGTAGAGTTCTTAAGTAGGCTACAGGAATGCGTTATTGTGAAATGAATATTTAACGTGCTAGGTTAAAGTTACTGTTAGTATTGAGAAATTGGTACAAAATTATTCAGTCCATTGTATTAGTGATTTGTAATTTGCTTATATTTGTTTAAATGAAATTTTTTATAATGTAGTAATGTGTGATAACCATTTTTGTGCTGTGCTGAACTATTTTAGTATTTAGTGCTGAATCATTTTCTGTTAGCATCATTTATTAGTGTAAGTAGGTATTGTTGCAAACGTTGAAAAAATCCCCATTTCCCATTTCAGGGAAAATGTAAATTTGGTTATTTCAGTGCACTGGAGAAGTAACTGCATTAAGAGGGTTCTCGCAGGTTTTTAATTCTGTAACTTTTGGTATGTATGTTCGGCCACCAGCGACTGAGATGTAAAGTCTGAACACTGGTAGTTCGGTCGGGAGTTAGAATCAAGCGAATTAGCTGGCTGCATGGGTGTTTCCGCCGCCATTTCGCTCATGCGTAACTTGCATATGAGCCAATTACTCTTAGAAAGACCTCAGAAGACATCTTCCCTCTTAGGCAGGTAGCTCTCTTATGCTTTGCCATAAGTAAAGAAACTAAACCATTTGTTATGTATATTTCTTTTAGAACAAAAATGGCACATAAGAATTTCTTACTATAAAATGGATTTTACATTTTATCCCGAAAACTACCTATTTCTATGTTTATTTTAAAAACTAAAATTTGTTATAGAAACTTAAAAGATGGGTAAGGGTGGCAATTTTAAGTTTTTGCCCCGTCTAGGAAAAATGCTAAATCCGGCGCTGTCCGCGTGACCAAGATTTCTGCAGTTATAGCAACGAATATTTGTTTTTATTTTACTTTCAAAATAGTCGCTTCTGGTTTTAGAATTAGGCTTAATGGATTTGTTTTTATCATTATCTAATTTAATTTTTTCATATATCTTAAGTTTTTCCTGAAATTCTGCCAATGTTTTACAACCATAAAGAATAGCTTTATTAAATGCAGAATCATTGAATCATTTATACCATTAATAACATATTCAAATAAAGCGGTGTTTTCAATATTACCTATGGAACATAGATTTTTAATTACTAAAAAATATTCATATAGCAATTCTTTTTCCTGCATTTTACGTTTTGATAATAATTCATGTAACTGAGCAGAGTTATACTGAACACCATATTCATTTACTAATAAAGCTTTAAGTGCATTCCATGAATTAATTTTCCTTTCGCTTTCAATAAACAAATTTGCTTTGCCAGTTAAAAATCTTTTGGCAAATATTAGTTTCTGCAATTCATTTAGTTTTCAAATTAGATACATCCTCAAAGTTTCCAATAAATTTGTCAACCGAATTATACGGATTACCATCAAATTTAGAAATCAAACTTTCAATATCATTAAAATTTATATACGCATTTGAAAACTGTGAAAATGGAAATTGAACTGATGACTTACTAATATTTTGTTTTAGCTCATGATCTTCATCAACAGCAGCAAAAGAAGAGTTGTTGAAAATTCGAGCAGTTGATGCATCAATTTCACTATTAATAGCAGTATTTCTTCTTTCATCCAATATTGCCTCATATTCCCCTATTTGTTGCTTGTAATTTGATCCCAATTCTGACACCAATTTTGTGGGTTCTTTAGTTTCAAAATCACAATTCATACTCAAACAAAAACACATTTAATAAAACATTAATACATCTATAATATAGTTCATCTATTAATACAGCATCTATATCATCTTTCATCTATAAAACAACATCATACATTTATAAAACAACATCTTCTCTCATAAAACAAAGTGGCAAGAGTTCTATCAATTTCACTCATGCAGTCAACAGCTAAAATTTAGACAGCGCGTGAGGAAAAATATTAAGCTATGGATATCCCACATATTTTTTTTAATTTTAAAGTGCTAAATTTTTTTGATTCTCTAAAATACCCTTAATTCACTGCCATCAACAGAAAAGGGGGTATAGTCTTCGATTCAAAGTAAATAAAATGTTAGAATCAGTGGCACAGCTAGAGCTTTTGCTGCTCCTCTTGATACACAAATAGATAACTAACAAAAACAGCACGTTAAAAAGTAAATTAAGACTGTACATTTAATTTTGAAGAAAAACTTGGATTCCAACATTTTAAAATTACATTATTATTCCCCTCTTTTTTTTCCTCATTACTAAAACCATCGATAACATTGTAGAGGTCTACTTATGCTCCATTTGCAGTTATATAACTGTAAGATTTCTTAAATGATTTTTATTTAAAAAACTTTTCTAGCAACTAACAGCACTGGAGATTGCATTTTAGAATTTACTGCAAAAAGTCAAAAGAACTGCCCTTCCATATTCCTCTTTTGCTTTTCTTAGCAGTAACAGAAATAAAATTCTGAAATAGAACTCTTAAATAGAAATTCTTCCTGATTAATATCATTGTGATCATAATTTAGTTAATATTCCTAAATTTCATTCGAAAGTTTCGAAGGAATAAAACAGGTATTACAAGAATATGCAGTATTTGAAATCTACTGATGACTCATTTAAATATTTTATCTGTGAGTAAAAGCTATTTTTCTTCTCAAATAAATTCCATATGGCAATTCAAAATCTCATTATTTATATTATTTTTTATAAACCTTTTGAAAATGATTATGAATATATTTTATGATTAGTATTAACAATTTCTGGGTCTCATTTAATGCAATTCTTTACATAATTTTGCTTCTGAAAAACTCAACTTATTTTCTGCTAGGTTGCAGTGTGATGTTTTGTTATTATTTTAATATTTAACTATAAATTCTTTTACTTAAAAATTTATAATGCATGGAGTTATGGTCAGATAAATAAATAATTATTTGCTCTTAGCACATTCTGATAATTCTTTGCTGTCATTTCAGGCAGAGAATTTGAACAATGATATGAAAAAAGAAAGACGAAAAGAAATACTACAGAGGTTCTTAAATCTTTTAAAGCATGATTTGGAACTTGAGAGGAAAGGCAAACAAGGCGTTGAAAATTTAGCTAAAGTTTTCCAAGAAACACCTACATTTGGAGATGCTGAAGCACAGCAAGATGTTTTTGAAAAGCTGCAAAATGTTAGCAACTTTATTACTATTCAATGTTAAAATCATTATAAAACATTGTTTAATTAATACATTAATAATTAAAAAAACAGTATTTATATATGTGAAAAACTAAAGCATCTATTTAAGTCTTTTTGAATAATAATTCTTGTATTTTTTATTTTTACAATTCTGTTTGAATCATAATGCATTACAAAAAATATGTGAATATTTTTTAATCAAATACCATAAATCATATCAGAATTGTCTTGCTTCCCTGGAGAATTTCCATAGGAAACAGGCTGACTATTCATGCTACACACATTTAAAAAAATATATTTGAATTTTTTCTTTAATATGTTCTCTTAATTTTCAATTCTAGTATTGCATTTTTTGAATATTTGTAAATTGTTACTTTATATGAGTAGCTAAATTTATTGTTTCCCCCACCCCGAATTAGAAAAAAGTTATTTATTATAAGTATTTTTCAGATATTATTGCCTAAAAGAATTTGGTTGTTCTAAAGGGGCAGATTTGTGGAATTGAAGTTTTAAATTGAGATTATTATAAATTTAATTTTATCCTTGTCAGACCTTGTTTACAAGATTACTATGAATTCAAAATTATAATTATCAGAACTTTCTATCTTGAAGCATTGTATTTTTCAAAATTATTTTTATAAATTTCAATGAATTAAATTGTATGTCATTTTAAATGACAGTTCTGTTTTCATTCTTAATCTTGACATGATCAGATACAATTTCAAAAATATAAATTTATAGCTTAGATTCAGTAACATTTAATAACCAAATGATAATTGATCTAGAATTTCTAATATTAGTGGCTAATCTTTCTTGCATTTTATTTCAAATTGGGCCGACTCTTCTTTTTCAAAATATTAAATTACCTTTATTATTGTTAGGAAATGTCCAGGCGCAGTCGGATAGCTTCCACGCAAAGCAGGTATAGGGTTGCCATAAAATGGCAAGGGAATGTAGGGTTGCCACATTCGACAAGAAATTGCTCATTTGGCGACAAAATTGGTGATATGGCATGGACGGATCGAGAACCTTCTGAAACAAATTTTTACCGGTTTAGTCCAGAATGTTCTCGAACACAAGCCGAATGTTATATAAACCCTGCTGGTCCGCAGTCAGTGAGTTTGCCTCGTTAGGGCGAGTTAGTGTGTCTCATCTAGTTAGTCCATGTGGAGACAAATGAGTTGACAGCTGGCCAGCGAGTGCCGAGTGGGTCGTCGAGTGCATTGAAGAGTCTCTTAGTGTATCGCGGTTAGTGCATCATCAAGAGAGTGTGTTAAGCTCCAGGAACGACAGAACCAAAGAGTCGGGAGCTGTGCTCTGTGTGTTGTCGAGTGCATTGCAAGTTGTAGCGTGAAGAGTCTCCAGAGTACGTGGAGTTCCGAGAACTACCGAGCAGAGTTGGAAGCTGTACTCTGGTGCTTTGCAGGGAAGCTGCCTCCACCGTTGTTGCCTGACAGTGTGAAGGCTGTGTCGCTGATTGTTCCAGCGTATTTATAGTAAATCTTCAATGATTGTAAATAGGAACTTTGGAGCTGTCCTGATTAATATTGGCTAAATAAAGTGTGTTTTAATACTTCATCAAGTGTCATCATTATTCACTCCAAATCCACATGAACCCCATATGAACGTGAAAGAAGAAAATAACATAACATTATTGTATTAGTTTCAGTAGTGAAAGTTTCTTTTGAGTAACCTCTTAAACTTTCTAAACAAAGTTGTATTAATAAATAAAATAAGATTTAGCTAAAAAGGGTGGATGAATTCATGAAGTTCTCACAAAGAAGAAGAAAAATTTAATGATTTCCCTCATTTTTCCCCTTGGAAAGTTTTTAGGAAAAACAATAAACAAAACTTTTTGCTGTTTCTTATAAAGCCTTAATTTTAATTCATAAAAAATAATTTTCTGATACAGAATAGATACAAAATTCATTATTTTATTGCATAATTAAATATTTAATTGTTATTAGCACTCATATTAAAGAATAAAATTATTTGAATCTGATTAGTCGTATTGATTTCCTGAACATTTTGCTTTGCTATGAATCAGAATTCTGGAAATTTATTTTAGATATTAAAAAAATTATTTAATTAAGTTAAAAAAATGGGTAATAGAAAAAATCATGCAAAATGTAAGCAGAAAATATGTTATTGTTTTGTATTTTTCTTTTATTAATTTTTTTACTCAAACTGAAAAAAATTGTAATTGGTTTATAGATACTCATAGCTTTTATTAAAATAGCTGTTTAATATATTGTTGCATTCTACTTTCGTGAATTTTCGTTAATTCTACTTTCGTGGAGTGATTGATGAAAATACGTGATGAAGAATCAAAACACAACTTATTTAGCCAGTATTTCTCAGGACAGTTCTAAAATCACATTTACAGTCTTCCAAAAACTCTGACAAACACACAGAAACAATCAGCAACACAGCTTTCAGGCTATAACAATGAAGACAGCTTCACGGTAAAACACTATAAAGTACAATTCCCGACTTGGTTGATCACTCTCGGAACTCAAACTTGATGATGCACTGACGAGATACTCTTGCAATGCACTAACTCACAGTACACTGCTACTTTGCGTACAGGCTGTGTTTCTACAGCTTTTAGCCTACCTTCGAGAACATTCTCGCCCAAACCATTAAGAATTCATTCTAGAATGTTCCTCATTCATGGCATATTGGCAATTTTGTCGCCAAATGGATGATTTTGTGCAAAATCTGGCAACCCTAAACCCGCTTTGTGGGAAAGCTATCTTACCACAGCTGGGCATTTTGTAACAATATGTAATTAATGTACTGATATATCTGCTAAATGGGCACTGTGTTTATATAAGAAAATTTCAGAAATGGAGAAACTTTTGTTTTACATTGACATAATTTTTATCAAAGTTAGAACATTATTTAGTAATTTTCCCAATATTTAAATAATTCATGCTAATCAATAGGTTATGATTGTATTCAGTGTATTTTTGTTAAAATTATATTAAGATGGTAAATAAATAATAAAAATTCTATTAAAAATTTTAATCCCCTTTCCCTTTAGAAATATAACAGTAATAGAATTATGGTTTTGTATTTTGAATAGATGCGTGCAATGTTGACTTACTTTGAAGCTACAAGGTTTAAGATGCAGTGTACACTTGCTGAACTAGAAGGACGTAATAAGCCTACTCATCCATTATATGCCCACATGGAAGTGAAAAACAAGCAGGTAACAAAATCTTCTTGATTATAAAATAATCCCATCATAACATTAATCATATAAAGTTTATTAGTAGCAGTGTAGTACTTTGAATTTTTAATCAGAAGCATTTCGTTGTACACATGGCATTTCATTTAAATCTCTTACGGCTTAATGTTGAAACGCGAAGTTATAAGAGAAGAATAAAACAACAGTTTTAGGGGTTTAATTTTTTAAATAATTTTTTTTATTTTTGCTTAAATATTTTAATTTAATAATAAGAGCAATTAAAAAATCTCTTATGAAACAATAGATAGTTTTTATTAATTTTCTTTCATTCTATGTGAAAATAGTACAAGCTTATTCATGTGACTTCTAACATGTCCCCCCAAAAGGGACTTCATTATTAATGGATTTTGTATAAGCAAATTTTGATATTATGGTTCAGGAATGCATATAAATATTAAAGTTTCATATAATTTAGTACAACTAATGGATTATTAACAGGGTATGAATCAAACTGTTTTGAAAGTTCCTCACTGGGTTAGAATGGAGCGGAGAAATTCAGGAAGTAGCGGTTCAGGCTCAAGTGATTCACCAGATTACGACATTTCTCAAGTACAAGGTAGAAATTTTTATTTGATATATAAAGTATTAATATTCCTTTTTAATATAGCATACTTTGTTTTGAAAAAATATACATAAAATAATTACTATAATGATTTTACAAATAACTTTCAGAAAATAGAAATGATGTGTATGCAAATATACCTGCAAGTTCAAATGGAGTTTCTTCCATTTCATCCATGGTGCAATGTCGAGCTTTATATGAATATGAAGCAAAATTAAGTGATGAGCTAACTCTTCATCCAGGTATGCTTTTTATCTAATTTTCTGGAACAGATGCTTTTTCTACATGATTTAAATTTTCTTCAAATAATTGTTCACAGAAAGTTTAAACTAATAACATTTATTGTAAAATATATTCAATGACATTAATGTAGCATTTAATTATAAGACAACACTTCAAGTATATCTGTTAAGGAGGAATACACTGATTACTAACTATTTAATGAAAGCTGCTCTGAATTCATATTACATTCAGGAAGCACTCATACATACTGTTTATTGAGGAGCAGAGAAATGAACCTGCAACAAATTGCCGGTTTTCTGTGACTTTAGTTAGTCAGCCACTGGTTAGCCCTAAATAAGTTGGCAAATACAGAGACATTGTAACTACTAGGTAACCCAAAAAATTATTGTTGGTTTGGACAGTCAGAAAGAAAAAGTCCTACAACAAATAAAAATTACTGCTAATCTTCAAAGTAATCACCATTGGCCTCCAGTGCCTTTAGCCGACGAGCGGCTAGCTGTGCGATGCCATCGCAGTAAAACTCAGGAGTCTTGGATGCAAAGAAGTCCATAAGAGCTTCTTCGAGGTCTGGCCGGTTGTTGAAGGATTTCCCACGAAGATGGTTGTCCAGGGAATGGAAAAAGTTATTGGCTTTTTGTGCGAGGGCTGGGGAGTATGGTAGATAGGGTAATGTCTTCCAGCCCAGTCATTGGATGATGTTCCTGGCCTCCCGAGCCACATGAGGCCTCACATTGTCATAGAGGAGGACTACACTCTTGCGATAGACCACCTCTTTATGCATCGGGGTCTGATGCACATGTTCCAACTGCTGCGAGTACAGGCCTGTCATGATGGTTTGGCCCACTGGCATGAGCTCATAGTGCACCACTTGGTGCATCAGACAGTGAGTGGTTGCTTGTTTGCATCGGACAGTGAGCACCGCATAGGAAGGGCATACAACTTGCTCAACTTATATGCCCTTTCTATGCGGTGCAAATGGAGTCTGATCATTTTGTCAGATACCTGGAAGTGTGCTGGGCGCTCACCTCATGTTTGACTACCGTCACTCTCTATGGCTGCTCTCACGGCCTCATCGTCCAGCGCTTGCGGCCGACAGCTGCATGGTGTATCACTAAGACATATCCCCTGACTTGAACTTCTGGAAACATTGCCTAGCGGTTCATTCATTAACGGCATCATCCCCAAAGGCCTGGCAAATTTGGCAACTTGATTCTCCTGCTGACAGGCCCACTTTAAAATCATACAGCAAACAACTCAATGAGTGCCTTTGATGCATCCATTTCAATCAGTCGCTGTGAGTTACCAACGCAATGCGCTTTTATACTCTTGGTCAATGTCCGGACTTCCATCCTAACCACTTCATCGCCAGGTGTGGCGACTTTTTTTAAGTTTGGGTTCACTCTTCCAGTGTCATATCAGATACGGGAAGAACTTTTTTAGTTACCTTGTACAGTACAAGTCTGAAATCCGGATGTCCATTATCTGGAATGATCTAAAATCCGGACCTCAAAACCACCAACAACGTTTCTCTTGTAGGCTTTACACATGGACATTTGATTCCCCCATTTGCACATAATAAAATATCTGGAGAGTTCCGATTCTTAATTATACTTTGATACTAAATTAAATACCTTGTTATTGAAGAAATAATCATTTTAGCATAAATTTGTACTATCAATAATTTGGCTCCATTGCTGCATATCTGCTTGGCACCCATCTCAAAATGAAACATTCCACATAGATTCATTATTGATCTGACGCCAACTTTGTGAATCATTATTTTTATTATACTTTCCTTTCATCACCACATGTTTATCAAAACATGACAACTTGAGTAATGACTCATGTAGTGATGCCTAAACAATTTTTATATGTTAGTAATTGAATAATAAAGGAGTATTGTAACCTTTTATGTTGACTTTACGCTTACAGATTTAAGTTAAATGCGCTAAAAATGTTGACGAGGAAAAATTTACCAAAAATTTCTTTCCATATGCTAAAAATAGATTTTGTTGATGATACTCATGTACCCAAAGATTACATTTAGGGCTATTTGAGTTAAGAATAACTGATTTGTTTTTCACATAAATCCAGAACCATTGCCAGGGCTCGTATGGCCTCTCCGAGTCTCAGAATTTAGGACCCACAGAGACCGCATCAGAAGGTAAGATATCTAGTACCGGCCCTCAAAAAGGCTTAAGTATATATGGGAATTTATTTATTCAGAACTCTGATAAGCCTTAAGCATGTGCAAGAAATATACAATAAGTATAATAAATAACTAATACAATTCAAGCTTAATTGTCTCAGTGTGCGATAACAGCGAGATAAAATTTAATGGAACAACTTGTCGTTAGTCGCCAATCTCATGATGCATAGCCAAGTATGTATAGGGAAGGATAGCTAAATTTGATGAAGATAGCCGCTAATTTTAAATGTTTCGGATATCGCAAAACAAAGGTGAAATTTTCCAATTAACGGATTTTGTAAAGAAATTTGGGGAAGCAGTAATAAATGAAGGTGATATAAAAGAAGTTTTTCATTGTGATGACAATGTTTCTCAATCATCAATCAATTAATGAATGGTGAAATCTGTAGTATGGTTTTAGATCCAGAAATACCACTACCGATAGTGAAGAAAGTGACAGAGAAGTTACTGAAAACGAGAAAATTTCGATTGACAAGTTAGTCAGAATTCTTAAAACAGCAGTTGCAGGACTTCAACAAAACATGATATTATGTAACTAAACAAGAGATTATGTCTGCCTATAGAATTAAAGAGAAAGTATTAGCAGAGAAAACGAAGCAACTTAAACAACATACATTGAACGAAATGTGTAATAAGGTAAACAAATAAATGTTAAGCCCTTTTGTAAATTTTGTAAATTTTGATACCCTTTAGATCATAAATAATTCATTTTTTTCATAAATCACGATTTCATATTTTTAATTTTATTATTTCTACATGCCATCTTAGTAGATTTAAACTGATGATCTAATATCCGGAAAAATCCCAAATCCGGAATCACCGAAGTCCCGACTAGTCTGGATTTCGGACATTGTACTGTACAAATTACTTTTCAAATAAATGATTTTTCATTTTAAGGTTTTACATCAGGTTCCCACATGCAAGATAATGTGGCCTGACTGTAAGATGCACAACTGCCATATTGGACAACATATCTCGCAGAACAATATGGTATTGAATGTATATGAATGTCTTGAGAAAAAGCTGTTTATATGATATTGACTAGTTCTAAATTCATCGTCATTTTTGGTTGGTGCCTTTGATAAAGACATTCAGTCAACCCAATAACATCCCATAGAATCTAAATTACAGCAGGAAAGCACCTACATATTTTGTAGGGACTATCTGCAGATTTTATCTGTACTTGTATATTATTATGCTAAAAATGGCATAATAATATACAAGTACAGATAAAATCTGCAGATAGTATATTATTATGCTATTATAATACTTATATTATTATGCTATTATAATACTTAGCATAATAATATACAAGTATATTATAATACTTGTATATTATTATGCTAAAAATGGCTTATAGTGTATTTTGGAAACAGACTAACTTTTGTTTGTCTGCTGTTGCTGTAGTTTGCTGCTACATTTCACTGACATATTAATGTGGCAGTGCTATACCAATTTTTCGTTGTAGTGATGGTCTGCTGTTAATGCTGATGAAATAACAAATTATAACTTAACTGTAACTCCATAAAAGACTCTCAAAAATGGCAGCAGGATTTGCTTAATTAATGACCATATCATTTCTTTGTTGAACACAACATTTCCCAAATTATCAAGCGAGGCAAGCTCTGCAGCTTTTCATGTTAAGGACCAATTTTCTCTAAGTATGATGAGATTACAAACCTGTAAGTAATAGTCTATCCTCATTTCACTGAATGCCAGCTGTTCTGAGTACTGGATATATAATGCTTCAAGAAAATCCATTTCACCAATTGAAGAAGCTTTATGGATATTTTTTGCAGACCTGAAGCCAAAGTAGTGATTAAATTTCCAGCTATGTTTAGCTACTAAAGATTTGTTTATTTCTTCTTTTCTGACATAAGATTCATGTTCCTTGATGCGAAATTTCAACTTTGTTTTAGTTGGGCCCAGATATCTGAAACCACACTGACAAAATATGCTATAAATTGTCCAAGAATGCAAGTCAGAGATGCAGTATTTCAGAACTGAACAACAGATTTTATTGATTACATTCTTTAAGATTTCATCTGTTACTTTGGGAATTTTCAGCATATTTTGTCAGTATGGAACATTAAAATTTTGCTTCAAAGAATGCTCTTTTTTTTTTTTTTTTTTTTTTTTTTTTTTTTTTTTTTTATTTCTCTAATGGCTAGGCAAAAGTTACAAAGAACTAAAATTTTACAAACAAAGAACTAAGAACAAAAAGTTATTGCCTAAGGAGTGCTCTTGCCTCAGTATCTCAACTCGTCTGTAAGACCACGAAGAGCCCCACATTGAAGCAGGTGGTCCTTGTCCATTTTTTCTCCAGAGTGGACGTATGAATACGAATATTATGCAAGAAAAGAAGAAATCAACAAATTTTTGACAGATAATCATAGCTGGAAATTTAATCACAAATTTAAGTGTGCGAAAATTATCTACAAAGCTTCTTCAGTCGGTGAACTGAATTTTCTTAAAGCTTTTCAGATTTGCAAAAGCTTATCTTGGTTTTTCAATGACCTGAATTCCAATTTCAAAACCTGAATTCCTCCTAATGCTTTCAAAATTCTAATATCTTAATTTTTCATATTTTTTTCCTGTTTCCTTGGTCAGATAGCACTACGCTCATTTTCACTTTGCTCCATCCTTTGTTTTTGGTATAAATACAATCATGGCTCCTCTCTTTTTTGCAGAACTTCTTTGCTCCTTACGAAGAGGGACCTGCACTTGTTCACCCTCAAAATCAGTTAGAGTTTCAATTAAATCTACGCCAAACACAAGATTGTTCTTTTGCCTAATTTTAAGTTTTACTTTGGTGTGTTTCTCTTCTTTCAATATGGAACTCATTTTCAATGCAGATTTCTGCAGTGTTGTTAGCAATTATATTGTTAGCAAGGCAACTCTTTGGACAACCAGGCATGAGTTGCAATTAACTTTCATTGACTTTTAAATTCTGTTGCTCATGCTTTAATTTGCTAGTTTATGTGAATACACATGGTATGAATCAGAAGGAAAGGGCTTAACTTAAATTACACTTAACTATTACTGAAAACAATTGTCACGAAACTTCCAGCACACACATTGGTTTGATTAAGAGATTCTTGTCAGTGTTCCAAAAGTATTTTCTTTTCTTAAATGTCATTCCTAACATTGATTTGCACAGTTTTTAAAATAACATGAATTTGTTCAATATTATGACCAGACAGTGTAGCATTTTCTTTATCAAGTACTTTATGTAAAATAACACTGAAAAGGATGTATAAAATTACTCCACAAATTAATATCTGTTACTCGGCCCTTAATTAAGCACATATTTTATTAATGAAAGAAGCATAATTTGTGATATGAGTATACGTACATGCTTACATTACATTACAAAAACAAGCCAATTATAAGTTTAGAAAAAAGAGTTTCTTACATCTGACAACTATTTATACAATATGAAGTTCTTTTCAAATATCAACAAGTAGATAATTTTTCATTTATTTGACTCCATAAAAGTTATAATTAATTTTGATATATTTACAATTGTTGTTTATTACACATTATTTATATATATATATATTAAAATTAATATAAAAATCTGAAATTTTAATTTCAGGTGATATCATCGTAATGGTGCAAAAAACAGATGACGGTTGGTGGCAAGGTGAACTAAATGGAATTGTAGGAGTATTTCCATCTACTTATGTTGAAGAACTGTAAACTGATTTTTAGTTTGAATTCTTCCTTTATTACGTTAATATGAATGGAACATGGGAAGCATCTTATAGGAGCATGCCCAGTGCAATTTGAAAACATTCAGTTATTTGATGAATTTTCACATTCATAAGCCAGTTTGCCATCCAAAGTTAATAAATAGTTGTTGTTTACCAGCTTTGAGGAGAAAGGCAAGAATACCCCTGAATGTCAGAACTGAGTTTTACTTCAGTTTGTACTCATTGAATCAAAGGTGAATTTCTTTAAATGAGTACTTTTTTAAACACAAGGAAGTTTTAAATAATCAATAAAAAAGAGGGAAGTTTGGATTAAAAAATCTGATTGAATGTAAGCCTATAAAACTACCCATCATGAATCCACAAACCTGTTTTAGCTCATTAAAACAAACAAAGTGGATGTCAAGATTTCTTTAAAGAATGCTACTTTAGACTCTTTTTATTGGGACTTGATTGACTGAAGTTTTGATTTAGTAGTGAAAAAAGGAAGTTGTGATCTATGCAATAGCATGTACAGGTACAACACTAATAGCTCTTAAAGACTTAGTCATTTGAATGAAATCTAAAAGATAGTTAACTTTTTGCATGTACTGAAGTGTCATATTACATTTGACAATCCAATAATTAAGAATATGAGGTTCGTAAAAACAAACAAAATATAGTAACACAAGCATATTAAAATATTCTGCAATTACTTAAAAATTAACTCAGACATTCTAGCATAAAATTTTCATCAAGTTTTCATTGTTAATTTTAAATTAAATTGTGGCAAAAACTAAAGGCGACTGAACCATAAACGAACTAAAAAGGACATACCATTAAAAAAATAGAATAGAAAGAAAAATTGAAATAATGATCTCAGGATAACTTTCTAGTAAATATTACTGCCATGCTATGAAACAGTATTTGCTGTTTTAATTTTAATTGCTCAATGAAGTATGGTAAAGAAAAATCATTCCAGTCATTTCTATGTTAGCATGATTCTTGACAATAATGGCTATCATATATCTCATTTTGAATTTAAAAATGAAAGGAGTTTACCACATAAAGTTTACCACATTTTAAGTATACCACATAAGAGTTTGATTCATACAATAATTTATATTTGAAAAGAATAAATTACAAGTTAAAGCTTATTTTAGGGGAAAAAGGAGCAGTTATCTTTTAGTTTTATATTTTCACTAGGTGAACTGGTACAGAAATGAAACACTTGTAAAAAGCATATATATAGGAAAACTAACCTTTTAAGGAACTAGTAATAAAGTAAAAATATCAAAAACTGAACTGTACTTGCTATATAACAATTACATCGTAGCTGACAGCATTGAACTAGGAAAAACAGATTGTTTCTGGGAGGCTCCTACGCTATGTGGTGACACCTTTTTCAAAGAATTCCTAATTGACTTAAATTAAGTTTAATGCATGATTCAGACTACTGCACTACAGTCAAAAGTCGTTAATCCGGACTCGTCGGGACTTCGGCAATTCCGGATTATCGATTTTTCCGGATTATAGATCATCAGTTTAAATCTGGTAAAATGGCATGCAGAAATTATAAAATTAAAAATATGAAACCTTAATTTACGAAATAAAGAACAATTATGATCTAAAGGGTATCAAAATTTACAAAAAAAAAGGGGGGGCTTAATATTTATTTGTTTACTTTATTAAACATTTCTTTCAATGTAAGTTGTTTAAGTTGCTTCTTTTTTTTATCTGATAATACATTCTCTTTAATTCCATAAACAGACATAATTTCTTGTTCAGTTACAAAGTTCCGCTGTTCAAGCCCTATAATTGCTGTGTCGAGAATACCGACTAATTTGTCAATCGAAATTTTTTCGTTTTCAATAACCTCTGTCACTTTCTTCGCTGTCGGAAGCGAATTATAATGACGAGGCATTTGATTTAAATCATATCAAAGACGGAGTACATCGAGAGGAAATACCCATTTAGTAAGCAATTATAAGCCAAATAAAATAAAAACATCTGCTCTTAAGATAAGGATAGTGCTGACAGATCAACTTCCAATTCATTGCGCTCCCGCGGCGTTAAAGATAAACAACGTTAAAGTTTAGATAAATAAAGGATATGCCTTTATCCATTTTTTGCAGGCAATTCCACTTTTTGTTTATTGGACTTCGAAAGATACTTTCGCTTTGTAGATCCTTTACATATTATAATTATATCGGAAATTCTATTTGAAATAATCGAAAGTTCATTCTATTTGAAATAATCGAAAGTTCAAGCTTACTTTTATAAAATTGCTCTAACAGTCTGCAAAAAAATAATAAGCCGGATCCAATTCGAAGATTAAGGAACAACGCAATCTGCAACATTAACTGAAATAGATAATTAGATAATTTTAGCTTAGCTTATCCCGTCCGTTATACATTAAACGCGCATTCGTAAACGTATTTTGCACACGCGCACACGCAAATTCGCAGCAGTAAAGGTCTTACACGCATGCGTCAACGCGACGCATGCGCAGAAAGTTTGTAGCTTTGAAGTCCGGATTATGGGTGTCCGAATTAACGACTTTTGACAGTATTTATGATTTGATTCTATTGTAAAATGTATTACTATTTAATTAGATATTCTAAGTTTTAAATTATCTGGGTAATTTAAATTTGTAATTTTGTTACGTTTTTATTCTGAGAAATTCCTGAACAGGAAAGGAGAGCTTTTATTTACCAAGTATTTGTAAATATGATAAAAGTAAAATTAATAAGTAATGCACATACTGTTGTATGGATAAAATTAGTAATGCATTGTATATTGATGTAAAACAAAGTTAAATACAAATATTAACTGATTAAATATTGGTTGAATTTTCATAAGAAGCTATACCTATGGGATAAGAAAGCTTCTTCTTATTCTTCACTTACCTATGGTATACCGAGACAATTCAGATATTAAGAAAAATTATTCCGGGAGATGGAATTTGGGCATTCTTCACTTACCTATGGTATACCGAGACAATTCAGATAAAATTTAATAGGAAAATTATTCTTGAAATCACTAGGGATGGGAAGATGGAATTTGGGCAGTTAACCCGGCGGAAGTCGCACCAAGAAAAGTTACTAGAGTGGGTGCGTGGGGTATCACATACCCTAATATTTAAAATACAATAAAATAGTATTATTTATTTTAAAACTGTTTTTTTTTCCTCGTGAATTATAATAATGAATAAAAAATTAATGTGTCCAAATAATCTTAGAGTTAAAATTAAGATAAGATAATGAAAATAATAACATCATGGCCTCTAAGTTTCATTGCATCTCTATACACCATGCTTATTTTATTTCTTCACAACTTGAACGAAATACATTCATGTGTCTTGGCACAGAATGTTTTCACATTTAAACATTGCATTCAGTTCTTCTGTCCTTGGCACGAGGGCAAAAAATTTAAACACACATCTTTCATACTTAGTTGTTTTGAATTTCATGTATTCGTTTAATTCTTCATTGAAACTTCTGCTTTTGTTTGCATGCAGTATGTCATTCTTGGAAAAGTATTAATCTCTGATCTTTGTTCAATACTTTTTTTCATTAATTGTAATGCTAAGTCCTTCAAAAACAGCTCTGTTTCTTTGTTGGTGGATTAGCACTTGAATGTAATTAATTCAAGCATTTATTACAGCAACATTCAGTGCAGAAAGAAAATTACCATTGGCCACCTTCTCGTTATTCTGGCAATTGAATAATTGGCTGACATATCATCCCCATATCCACTGCTCCTTTAGTCTATATTAAAACATATAATTCCTGACGTTTTATTTTTCCAATAGTATCATCTATAGTATGATCGTTTATAATGTTGAAAGCATAAGAACAGTTTTTTCCTGTTTTTGGACATCTGGAATAATGTTTTAATCTTTTTCGAACCAAAACATTGTAGAAAGTATTCCTTAGTTTTTCTTTCAGTTTCCGAAATGCAATCTTCGATCGCTTTCAAATATTTCTAATAATCTCACATGCGTTGCATCTCCAGTTCATGGGGAATCATTCTTTTTACCATAATGCAGTTAGAAATCTTTAAGAATTTAATGTCAAGTACTTTAAAGTCACCTGCGAGTAGAGATATTTACTGTTACACTCTAGACTATAAATTTCTGAACTAAATATTCAGTCAGAAAAACACTTACACGCACAGGCGCGTGGGGTGTGTCATACCTCAGTTGTAACAAAATACCGATATATCTTTTTCTAAAACACACAGGCAAAGAAAAAGCGTTTCTGAAAGTCAACCTCAAGTAGGAACTCAGTTACTGAAAGCAGCACAGAATTTCAGTTTCACAAGTTAAGAATATTCCACTTTTATGTAGGGTTGAGGTATGATACACCCCACGCGCCTTCCCGCGGGTTAAGTTTCATTAATTCAATAAATTTGATTTATTGTTGGTAAAGTTAAAAATTGAAAACTGGGAGATGTGAAAAACCAGATTGTGCAGCTATGAACTACATTTTCATGTGAATTTTTAAGAAAATTAAGTGTTAACAAAGAAGATCAATTGCATTAGGGAAAAGTTTTAACTCTCTTTTATTGCTTATGTAAGAGTGCAGATTCGTGTTTGGGTATTATCGAATTTCAGAGTACTTTTAAAATGAAATATTGCAAACTAGTTTTGATATGGTGAAATATATTCAAAGTATGCATTTGAACTACATTATTTACTTTTTGATAAGATTTATATTTTTAGAAACTATTATTTTTTTACTTTATTTGAAATTTTATATTTAATCACTTATGAAAATGTCTAGCTGTTGCTCATGAAATAATATTACAAAAGTTTTTACTGTGCCTTATTCAATGAAGTTTTTTAACCATCATATATTATACATACAATTTTTAAAATCTACCATTTAAAGACATTTATAAAAGGTACTAAATAACGAAAATGTATGAAGTTTCAATAAGGTATTGTTCCAAAAATTCTGATTTTCACTTGCTTAAGTGACATTATATATCTATATATCTGATTAAAATTTGTTCTCATTTAATTTACTGGGACAGAGCTTGGTTTGTAATATTTTTTAGATATTATTAATATGTTGTATTCTAGTTTTACAGTATACCATAAAAACTCAGTTTAATAGCTTTCAATTAGTTTTAACATTAATTTTAAATTAAAATAGATTTAAAATAAAAGCTGAAATAAAAAAATTGAGATAATTACTCTAGAATAATTAAGAAGCTTAATTTCAAAAATAAATTATTTAATGTATGTGAAAAATAAAAATATAACTACAGCAGTTAATGTATGAAATTAAAAAAATATTTGCCATGTAGTATGCAATTTGTGCACATTGAATAAAGTGTTAACATCTAAAATTACATTTAACTTGCAAACTTGGTGCTGCATGAGAGTGAACAAGCTAGATATTTATTTCAATAATTCATATATTTTTAAAGCTAACAAATTAACATTTATTTTGGATTGCATTAAAATATATATTGGCTTCTGAAAGTATTTTAAATATTGGAATTTAAAGAAAAAGTTTAATTTTGAATGAAGTTCATAACATTTCAAATAAAAGCAACAAAATAATAAAATTACAAAAATATTATGAAATTAAACAAATGTAATATATTAACTCATTCCATAAAAGTGTGAGGAGGATAATTCATTATGATAGGTATATTATTAGCTGAAAATTTACTATTTTCATGTAATCCACTAGCATGTCATGTGATCAAGCACTTGTACACTTATGTCCTGTTTTATTACTTGCTTGTAGATAAGCATCATTAAGTACTCATGAGAAACATGTTTGCCATATTTGATGCAAATTTTGTTCCTACTTATAATGTGTATATAAATGACAAAAATTGAATTAGTTTTAAATTATGATGTATATTTGTACAGATTATATTAGAAATAAAGTTTTCTGGTATGATAGTAGTATATTTAAGTGTCTTTTTTTACCCCACAGATCTGATTTCTTTTATTTACTTTGCCACGATATATATATGATTTGATTAACATAACATAGCGCATAAATACTAATAGAACATAAGTTTTTGAAGAGATGGGCTAATTTTGCATGTTAAAACAAGTTAATATAAAACTATGTTTTATTTGAATTTAAATTAATTTCAGTAATAACCACGATGCATGAATAATCACAAAAAATTAGAGATATTAATTTGATTAGTATCATGCATATTTTTTGTTAACATATGTTACACTTAAATATGTGAGTGAAATGTTGCATTATATTAAACATATTTTTTCCAATCCAAAGAAATTATATATTTACTGTATACATACATGCATGCATATCTATGTTTAATCAACTTATTACTGCATTAAAACAACAATGAAGTATTTTTAATTTTTCAGCAGATAAGTTAAAGTGCAATTTTTTTTTTTTTTTTTTTTTTTTTTTTTTTTTTTTTTAATAAGAGTTCAATATGATCAGTTGCAGACAAAAGCCATCTAAGTGTTTCAAAATTTTATCGTTTATCAATAGGTTTTAATGAATTGCATTCATTGCTATTATACTTAACTGATACAGAGATAAAAGAGCCATCATTTTAAAATGCAGCACACTT